TACCACCAGATCCAAGCCCGTCGAAATTTACTTGCTCATAATTACAACTGTTTACATTATCATTAGAATTATTTAGATCTTCTTTATGGTTGCTAATCATTGTTTCTTGATTAACAGATGTCTCATCCAAGGCCTCCCTCCAAGGCTTTGGTCCCTTTGGTCTCATCTTCTAGTAAACCTAATCAACTTCTTGTTCCTCCTCTTTCGGAGTCAATAACCCAATCTCACTCTCTTGAAATGGTTAACCGTTACCAAGTCCTTGGTAACATTTATCGACCCAATTACTCATCTGCTTTGGCCTCAGACCCTTTTGCTTCTTCCAGCCAAGCAGTCTCAGTTACTCCATTCCTTGCTAACCCAGTCAGGTCATCTCGATCTGAGTATACCAAATCACACACCACTAATCTGTTCTACAAAGAACCTAGTCACCCCAAAGGCCAAGTTATCCATGAAATTGCTAAATCCTATTTTGGCTCTGGATGCCATTTCATTCTCTCACATCCAGAGAAAACACTCACCTGTTACAAGGATATTTTGATCCATCACCAATCAGTTTTGATCAAACCCATTTATGATCGAACTTATGCTAGCAAGGTTCTGTATCATTCCATTTACATTCATAACATTGTTTCCTTAGCTGAATGGGGTCCTCCTTATCAGCTTCGTAATCTACCTGGTCACTTTATTCAATACAATTACCATGATTACATTGATGCCTGGTTCAAGATCTTCTTGTACCAAAATGAAACTTTCAGTCACTCCTGGTTCATTTCTTTTGATCAAAAATTCAAGTCTGAATTACCCTCTTGGTTTCTGAGATGGTGGACTCATTATGGCTCCATTTCAGATATCCTCCCTGGTAATCTTATTGAACTAATTAATTATTTTGCTTCTGTTTACCCATTCACTGCTCATCAGAGAACATTTCCATTTTTGTTAATTTTTATATCCAAATATAAAATCCCTTGGATATTTAAATGGCATTATGGAATTGATGATAATATAATCACCCGTCAACACTCAGTCAAATGGTGGGCTAAATTCAATTTGCCCCGCATAATTGAAATTGTTCAAGAAGAATTCCCCATTGATCAATGTGCTCCTACTCCTGCCATTGCTCAAGCCCAGCAGAACCCAACTGTTGCAATCAGCCAAGGAAGTCAGCCCAGTCTTCCTCCAATCAACCTTGGAAGCCCCTCATCTAGTGGTTCCAAGCCCAATTCATCCAAGTCCAAGATTCAGCCCACAACTGATAAAACAAAGTCGAAGGCTAAGCCCAAAGCTCCTGCAGTACCGGCTCAACCCAAGACTCAATCAAAGCACCAATCAAAATCCAAATCCAAATCCAAGGCTCAATCAAAGCCCATTTCACCTCCTGCTCAGCCCAAAGTCAAATCCAAAAGCAAATCCAAATTATCCAAAGACGAAGTGCTCCAGTTGGTCCGCCAAATTATGGATCAAGGTGAAGCCCAGTCAACCAGTTCAGAAAATTCAAAAATCAGTTCAGACCAGTCACAATCTTCTGAAGGTTAAACTACTCAACCCATCTCATATGGAAGATCTGAGTTCCAAGATGCTCAGGACCCATATGCCTGATCAACATAGGATTCTCTATAAATACGAATTAGCTTCAATCAATACTCTTTTGAGAAAAGCTGTCAATTTGTATTTATATTGATTCCTTTATTCACATGTTCCACCGAAAGTGATGAATAGTAAAAATTACTGTTCACTTTAACTGTTCACCGTCACTATTCACTCAATCAACTTTTGATAAAGCTGCTCATCTGTACTATCACTCCACCGAAAACAACCGACAGCATCTACTTTGCCTCATGCGCTGCCAGCTGCCTTTATCAGTCACATGCTGCTTTTTTATATAATGTAATCAAATTGTTCTCACTTGGTACTTCTCAATTTTCTTGTATTATTCAGTTCTTGAGAAAAACAGAGAGCTCTAAGTGACAATTACCTCTTCCCGTTTGTAACCCAATTAAGATCCTTGCAGTTGCTACAATTGTAATTGTAAGTTATTTTCTGTATTTTAATTACAATGTTTTATATTAAATAATTTTGATTAATTAGTACATTCCAATTCTGGTGTTGTTCAATTTGAATCATATTTGATTTCGTAATCCATTTTCTTCATTTATATATTAAAGAGTAATGATATACAAATAGAAAACGCATATAAAAATATATATAGAGTAATGTGATAGAATTATAGGTCTATCACTTTAAGGCTTCATTAAGCAGAGGCGTAAAAGTTAATTTATTAGTTAAAAAAATAATTTTGCTATATATATGATAAATAAATAAAAACATAACTCATTTTTTTGTTAAAAAAAACTCACTTAACATCTCTAAAAATGATTAGAATGGCTAAAAAAATTAGTAACGGGCCAAATAAACTAACTATTTTAGATGCTCTTAATATAAAAAATGTCATTCATCCATCACTTTGATGAATGATTCTGCATAAAAATTCTGAAATAATAAGATTTTTCAAAAACAAAAATGCTTTGGCATAGCCACATTTCCAATCCACTAGACAAAGAATTTCACCAGCAACATGAAATATGGATATAGCAATGTGATTCTAATCTTGGAAACTTGGGGCAAAAATTGGACCAGCTATGGGCTTAAGAAGTATCCAAGCCCAGCTGAGAGGTTCCAGTCCTATTGTCTTGCATCTTCAACCACATACAAAATTATAGATTGGGCTACCACTTCATTTGGGCCCAATCATTAATAACTTCATATTGGGCTCCCATAATTATCTGTCCACCCAAGTCATGTCATTGGTTAGGGCCCACACCCAGTGGGTCCTTGAAACAAATACTAACTGAAGCCCAAAAAAAACCCAACAAATATTGGGAGTTGGCTTAAAAGTCGATTTTTTATTTTAAAAAAATTTATGGGCATTTATTCATAAATTCCTTTTTATTTACTTATATTTCACTCAATTTAAATTATTTTTTTATGTTCCAAGAAGTTTTACAGGTGACATAGTTACCAGAATACCTCTAATAATAATTGAGTGAGGTGCGCATTGATGTTTATATTGACAGTGTAAATGTTTCATGATGTGAACATTTACACTGTTAAATTTATTTAATGTAAATACCTACATTATGGAACATTCAAAATAGTCCAAAATAGTGCACCTCAAGTTGATAAGAGTTTAAAAAATGTTTGTAAGGGTAAAATTGTTTATAAAATATCTTAAATATCAAAATTATGATTTGATGGATCAATTGTCTAAAATAATGGGACTTAGTGGAATACAATAATATTTGACGAACTAATTAAGATACAAGTATTTGAAAGAAGATTTTTTAACAAATTTCCTAATAGTATTTTTTTTGTTGAACATTTATTTATAACTATCTTGTCTACCAACACTGAATTTTTTATAAAAAAATTATTTATGTGTTTTTTTTTTTAATTTAGATTTTTGTGAGTAGTTATAAAGTGCCATCCTCACAATTAAGGATAGTCATTTTAGCCCGACTCGTGAGAGTCCGTTCATACCCAATCTGAACAAGATAGATATTACCCAACCCGACACTTGTATGAGGTGGGATGAATTACATTTTGATATTACATTTTGATCCCCTACAACAGGGGCAGGGATCACCTCTCCCGATTCAAACCAGACCCAATATAATTAATAATATATAACTAGACATAAGAAAATCCTAAAAATAGAAAAATCTAAAAGTGGTGTATGATTTTGTACATATTCTTGTTTGGAGTATGGAATATGTTGCAATTTGAAATGTGATATGTTTGAATTTTTTTTTTTTTTTCCCCTTGTTGCGCCCATTTTTTTTGACAATTAAAAATGTGATCAGGTATCCGCGAGGACATGATAAGGTTGACAAATTCTAACCCATAGCGGGGTAAGGAAAGACAAATCCACTCCAAACCGTCCTATGCCATCCCTAGACACAATAGATTCTTGTGAGCTTAACCAAACCTAAAAATTTGGCCCAATAAAGGCAATCAAAAAATAAAAGGGTAGTTACGGGCGGGTCCTATGGACCGGTCTTATTACCAAGCAAGTCCTACCCAAAAAAATTAAACTGTGTTTTTCATTTTTACCCCTAGACTCAACACTACAAATTTATCACTGGATTAAACAAATTTATCACTAATTTAAACAAATTTTATCACTGATTTATCACTAGTTTAAATAATTTATCACTGGTTTAAACAATTTATCACTGGTTTATCACTGATTTAAACAAATTTATCACTAATTTATCATTAGTTTAAACAAATTTATCACTGGTTTAAACAGATTTATCACATTCTTGTCCACAGATTCGTAACTTTTGTTATTTTTCTTGAACCTCGTCGAAGTCTCAACAATGGCGATGGCAGGTTTACAGAGACTCACATCCCAATTATATTGAAACCCTTCATCTCTCTCTTCTCCAAAGCCATAATCACCTGATCATCTTCTTCATCATCCTCACCATCCTCCTCCTTATCATCATCATCATCATCATCATTCAAGAAAGTCTTTGATCGAATCATGAAGCTCTTCGCGATCGATCTCAACGGCAAGAAAATGGTGGCGAATTCTCTCTCTTCCCCACCAACCATCCATGGCGTAGATATGCTCTCTTTCTCTCTCTTCTCTGCCGACCATCCATGGCGAATTCTCTCTCTCTTTCTAGATCTGGATTTGTAAATTTGGAGAGAGTTTTTTTTTTTTTTATCTGAATATAACATCATGAGGGTAAAAATGGAATAAATAAAAATGTTCAGGACTTATAGGTAAAAAACCTTCTATTAAGTACCTGTTAGGTAATAACCCTTGAAAATAGAACTGGCTCGTAAAAATTTTAAAAATAAATAAATAAATAAAAATTGGCCCAATGCAAAAAAGAAGAAGCCCAATTACAATAACGAAAAGATTTGGGAAATGTATTTACAAAAATGCCATTAGAGGGGGAAAAAATATATTCTGAAGCAGCAGCAGCAGCAGCATCATCATCCTCTGTCTTCATATCCCCTACAGTAGAACAATAACCTCAAATCTCCCATATAATTATTATTTTTTATTTTTTAAAATCAAGTAATTTTTATTTCAAAAAATTATCAATACCAGGAGGAGAAAAGATTCTGTAATGCCGCACCTTCTACTTCATCAGCCACACTTGCATCAGACACCGTTAATAGTCAATCACCGCCGCCCTCAACCACCTCCGGCCACCGCTTTCTTCCTAAGATGCTCTGTCGCCGCCGTGAAGCCGACGGCGGCGATAGGCGTCTCGTGGCGGATTAGAACAGGAACGATGAGGTGTATGGCGAATCCGAGGAGAGTGAAGATGGTGGCGAAGCAGATAAGGAGAGAGCTCTCCGACATGCTCTTGACCGACAAGGTCCTCCAGTTCGCCGTCCTCCCTGAGGCGGCTCTCGGCGCTGATCGATACCTCTCTTCTCTCACCACCATCAGTGATGTCGAAGTCTCCTCCGATTTGCAGGTACAATTATTGTTAACCTAATTCCTAATTCATTTTGTTTTGTTGAAAAAATATGTATTTGTTTGTTTGTTTATGGTTGTGTGTGCTTGAATTTGTACATTTGGAATTAATGGATTTTGGTGTAATTGTCTAGGAGAGTATTTCAAATTTAGAAATGAATGGGGTGTAACAGAGTATATGGAATATAGTACAGTTACAATGGAAGTAGAATAGAAGCGAAAGATTGCGAATTAAGAAATATCTAAGGTAAACATTTTCGGTATTTAGGATCGAGCGGATGTTGTTTATAGAATAAAGGTAGAGTGACTTAAATAGAGGAGTGCGTCTCGAGTGTGCGATAAATGGGTACCTATTAGATTGAAAATGAAGTTCTATAGAATGGCTATTAGACTTGTGATGTCATATGGGATGGAATGTTAGGCAACTAAAAGATAACGTGTAGATAAGATGAGTATTACTGAGATGAAGATGCTAAGATAGATGTGTGGCAAGAGTAAAAAAGATAGAGTTAAAAATGAGTATATTTGAGAATGGGTAGGAATAGTATCGATAGAAGATAAGTTGAGTGAGAATAGATTGAGATGGTTTGGTCATATATAACGGAGACCAACAGAAACAGTAGTGAAGAGATGCGATACAGTAACGGTAAATGGTAGTGTTAAGGGAAGGGGTAGACCTAGAGTGACGTGGACTAGTGTAGTGAATATAGATATGAATCTCCTTAATTTGACTAATGAAATAACCTTAAATAGAGTCGAGTGGAGAAGAAGGATTCATACAGCCGACCCCATCTGATGGGACTTAAGGCTTGATTTGGTTTGGTTAAATGAATGGATTGGGATTAATGTGAATAACTCAAATTTGTATTTGATAGTTTAGGTATAGAGTTCAAGATTGAATTTGTGTTAGGTACTTTTGGGGTAATTCTATTTAAACTCCATGTTTTATATCAGTACAAACTATTTGTACTGTTCTGATGTCAACTTCTGAACAAAAATAAAATGTTTAAATAACAACTTTTGAATAAAAATCAATTGTTTGAACAAAAATTCAGTTTAGTAGTTGATATCCAAACATTTGTATTTTATTCGGAAGTTGATCCGAACAACACAAATGGCATGTATGTGTGTGTGGTGCGCAAATAGAATCACCCATACTTTTGGGAGTGAACACTAGAAATGGGAATTGATTCTTTTAGAGTGCAAAAGCAGTATCGCGCAAAGTTCTTTGAGACCTTAAGCTAAACATAAAAATGAGGCCTTATCTTACTGGATTTTTGAAAAATTCAGGCCTTCAACGATGACGATTTTGTAAAATTTCTTAGAAGCCTGGGCTATGAACTAAGTGACCTAGTTGAGCCACCTCTGGGCAAAAGAACAACTTTTATAACTGTTTTTCTTTCTACAGTTCATAATTTATTTATTTTTATATGTGGCTGCAATCTGTTTAGTGTAATGGGTCTATATCAACACTAACAGATATTCTAATTGGTGCTAATACAGCATGTTTACGGTGGCCAGCTTTGCCATGGTGGATGTCTATATGCCACATTCAGATCCCCTGACTCTAGTTGTAGTGACAGTGTTGAATCCCTTGATTATGTCTGTGGAAGTAAAATCAAGGGATTCTCCAGTTATTTTCAGGCTAACATGTGATCGGTGTGAAAGCCTCTTTATTTTATCTGTTTTGTTTCTTCTGCTTGTGTAGTTTTACTCTTTCATTATGTAAGGGAATGTGTTTCTGGATGCTTAACTCTGTTGTTGTTTGTGAATGTGAAAGACTTATAACAAGCAACTGCTGACATAGTGAACTCATTTATTTTCAATGTAATGAATTTACTTAGTCATTAAAACATATATAATTCCTGATTCTGTTAATATTCAGATTAGTGATTAGATGCACTTTTTCCATGTGTTCATAGTTGTAATTGTCTTCTCTTTTATTTCACACGATTTTAGTCATCTGACCTGAGTTGTTGTTGTAAATTTGTAACTATGTTCTTTTTTTTTTGGTTTCACTAATTTTGATGCAATACTACAATAATACTATCACGTCATAACACGTTTCTTGAAGGCTGCAATATCAAACACGCAAAAGGTTAAATGTTTTTGCATTTCTTAGTTCACTCGGAGGAAACTTTATATGCAAAAGTATACACTCTAGTGATTGTTATAGCCATTCATTTTGGACCCTTTTGTAAGATTTCTGAATGAATTTGTATATTCAAATTGTCAATAATACAAAGAATACAACCAAGTTATATAGACCTAATCTGAAAAGAAAATAAGAATAAACATATATTCTACAATCAATCTAATATTCACACAATCAATCTAATATATTTACATAATATTCTCACACCCCCGCTCAAACTCAAGGTGTTTTAGCAATAAACACTGAGAGTTTGCTAAAAAGAAACTGAAAACAAGCGGTGGTGTGAGTCTTGGTAAAGAAGTCAACAAGTTGAAGTACAAAAGAAACGAAAGGAAGCTAGATGGAGTCCGACTGCAAATGCTGATGAACAAAATGACAATCAATCTCAATATGCTTTGTTTGCTCATGAAAGACAGTGTTATAGGCAATCTGAATAGCACTGCGATTGTCACAATAAAAAGAGGTCAGAGAAGACTGAGATACACCCAAATCAGACAACGAAGTTAAACAATTTCAGTAGTGGCATGAGCCATAGCATGGTACTTAGCCTCGACAGTGCAACATGCAACAATGGTCTGTTTCTTGCTCTTTTAAGAAATCAAGGAATCATTAAGAAACATGCAGAAACCAGAAGTAGACTTGCGATCAGTAACATCACCAGCCCAATTAGAATCAGCATAGGTTACCAAGTCCAAAGAGGAAGTGGAGAACAACAGTAAGCCCTGAAATATAGTACTTCGGAGAGAGTGAAGAATACGAACCAAAGTAGCCCAATGTGTAGAACAAGGAGCATAAATGAATTGGCTAACCACATAAACAACATAGGCAAGATCAGGGCGAGTGACAATCAGATAGACTAAGCAACCAATAAACTCTCGATATAAAGTGAGATCATTTAGAAGAACACCATTAGTAGTGTTAAACTTCACATTAAGCTCATTAAGCTCAATGGAGGTATCAGAAATCTTAGTGTCGATAAGACCAGCACAGTGAATAACCTCATATGCATACTTGGGCTAAGACAGAAAGTAGCTTTGGGAGAAGAAACTACCTCAATACCAAGAAAATACCGGAATGGGCCCAAATATTTCATTTCGAAAGTGCAAAAGAGATGTTACTTGACCTCAAAGATAGCAGAAAAGTCAGAGTCAGTAATGATCATATCATCCACATACATAATAAGGCAACAAAGCCAGTAGAGGTGTGAAGGAGAAACAAAGCAGAATCCTAGGCACAAGAATGAAACCCAAGTTGAGTGACATTGGCCTAAAAGCGATCATACCAAGTACGAGGGGATTGCTTCAAATCATATAGAGTACGCCGAAGAGGACTAACCTGTCCAGAGAAATGAGGAAGGATAGGGAGAGGACGCATGTACACCTCTTCAGTGAGATGACCATTAAAAAAAGCATTCTTAACATCCATTTGATAGAGAGACCAATGACAAACAACAGCAATAGAAATCAAAGTACAGATAGTAGTCATCTTGGCAACAGGGGTAAAGATCTCCTCATAATCAATACCATACTCCTATGAGAAACCTTTGACAACCAGGTGAGTTTTGTAAGGCTCAAGAGAACTATCAAAGTGAGTCTTGACGTTATAGACTCATTTGCAACCAACTAAATTTTTGCCAACAGGCAACGGAACCAGCTCCTAAGTAGTAGTCTTCTGCAAAGCAAACAGCTCATCCTCCATGGCTCGAACCCAATTAGAATCCTAACAGGCCTCCTTATAAGACTGGAGTTCTAAAAAAGAGTGAATAGCAGATAAAAAGGTGTAATATGAAGGAGAAAAACATGTTTTAGCAAAACTAAGTTTATGTTGGAATGTGTCCCACATCGCCTAGAATTGCCGCATCTGTACTAGTTATAAAACTCTAGTTTTTCTCTCCTTAATACCTGAGTTTTAAGGAGAAGTGTGGGCTGGACTTTTCAATTTGGTATCAGAGCTTGGTTAGGCCTGTGACTTGTGGGCCGTTTGTCCGACTATTGTATGTCCTGGTTCAGTAGAGTGTGTTGGAATGTGTCCCACATTGCCGGGAGTTACCTTATCTATACTGGTTATAAGACTCCAGTTTTCCTCTCCTTAATACTTAGGTTTTAAAGAGAAGTGTGGGTTGGGCTTTTCAATTGTTTGACTACCTGTTTTCGGATGCAAAAGGGATACTTACAGTTGGCAAGATTAGAGTTGTCAGAGGCAGAAGGATCGGCAGCAAGGGCAGAGACAACTAGTAAGGGAGAGCCTTGCGACTAGAATAGACTAACAATAGAGGAGGAGACGGCGATGGAGTCGGATTGGAGAAAAATGAGGAGGAGACGAGGGAACAGACTCATGGGGGTCAGTTGAGAAGGACTCAGCAGGAGGGGTGGTAAAGAGAACAAGCTCGTGGGAAACATTAGAGATGTACTTATCCAGAGGGACCTCAGAAGGAAATGGATCAATGTGAACTAAATCCTTTTTAGAAACCGAGACAGTAATAGGAGGAAGTTGAAAGTAAGACAGACATTTGAGAAAGGCAACATGGTGACAAGAAACAGAGTCGTAACAATAATAGCCTTTTTGGGTAAGACTGTAAGAACATCAACCTCAGAGTGTTTTCGGATGCAAAAGGGATACTTACAGTTGGCAAGATTAGAGTTGTCAGAGGCAGAAGGATCGGCAGCAAGGGCAGAGACAACTAGTAAGGGAGAGCCTTGCGACTAGAATAGACTAACAATAGAGGAGGAGACGGCGATGGAGCCGGATTGGAGAAAAATGAGGAGGAGACGAGGGAACAGACTCATGGGGGTCAGTTGAGAAGGACTCAGCAGGAGGGGTGGTAAAGAGAACAAGCTCGTGGGAAACAGTAGAGATGTACTTATCCGGAGGGACCTCAGAAGGAAATGGATCAATGTGAACTAAATCCTTTTTAGAAACCAAGACAGTAATAGAAGGAAGTTGAAAGTAAGACAGACATTTGAGAAAGGCAACATGGTGACAAGAAACAGAGCCGTAACAATAATAGCCTTTCTGGGTAAGACTGTAAGAACATCAGCCTCAGAGTCGCTACAACAACTTTGACGCTATTGTAGAGAGCCAAACTATAAATATGTTAATGCATCAGAGTCGCTAGGGGCTTCATTCATTTTGACAAAGCCACAGTTCCTCCTTTATCAGAGGAGGAACTGTTCACAGGGTAATCAATTTTTTATTATATTTTCTTTCCCGCGCTTCTTTCTCCCGCCAACAAGAACACTATCTCTCATACCACCATTACTGTCAACACTTACCAGAGCCATCACACAAATTTCATTCTCACCATCTTGGAAGTTCATTAGGTTCTCTCTCTCTTCTCTCTCTGAACTGGAGCAAAGCTGGGGTCGTCTCCTAGGATTTCCCCCAGGATGTCCCATCAGAAGAAGAAAAATATTGAAATTTTGTTTAACCGGTCGATCGCCCGGTCGACCACCCTGGCTCCTGTGTTGCTGCTGTTCTGTTGTTGCCCTGGTGCTCTCTTGGGTCTTATTTTATACCTGTTTTAATATATTTAAATTAAAAAAGACAAAAGAATAAAAAATAATATTTTAATGAAATAGAATTTTAAAATAGAGAGTTTGATGGAGTGTGTATATAAAAAAGAGGCTAGCTAAAATAAAAAAATAAATTTTGGGTTATAATTTGACTCAAAATTTGTTTAGACTGATGCGGATGCTCTAATGTAATCAAGTGTTGAATAATGAGAAAATAGCAACAAGGTGAAAGGAAAAAAAAAGAAAGCACAACAGAGTTTCTCAGTCAGTTACATGACCAAATATCCGGTCTTGCCTACCTACCAAAATAAAAGTTAATAAAAAAAACAAAAGAAGATTCAATAAATCCACCAAAGGCTCTCAATATTCATCAAATAATTTATCTACTCCAGAAGACACTGTAATATACAAACATGCCGAAACATAACACTGGACATGAAACAACGCCAACCAATCACCCCTAAAATGTTACAATGCTCAGATCTGAACACATTTAAAATC